CAATACTGTTACCTATCTTCTTAACCAACTTCCAACACCGCTCCTATCCCATCAATCTCCTTATGAAGTCCTTTACCACACACGCCCGTCATATGATCATTTACGCACATTCGGTTGTGCATGTTATCCTAACCTTTCTCTTGCTGCTAAACACAAATTAGAACCTCGTTCCACCTTATGCATTTTTCTTGGGTATCCGAGACATCACAAAGGGTACTGTTGTTTTGATCTTGCTACTAATAAAGTCATCACATCTCGTCATGTTGTATTTGATGAGAATACATTTCCCTTTGCTTATGTTTCTTCCCATGTATCCCATCGATCTCATCTACCTCTTTTTTCCGTCCACCGGGGTCTCTGGTTCCTTCTGCTCTACTCCCGATGTCTTTTCCTCCTTCCTCAAGTTCCAGTACTCGACCTGTGCCTCCTCAAACTACGCTCAATTCACCAGTTACTATCTCTTTTCCTCCATCCGCTTCTCCCTCTCCAGCACCCCCTATTTCGAGTACGCCTTCTCTTTCTAGTACTTACCCTCCCCATATTCCTCACCCTAAGGTCACTCGCACTCAAGATGGTACTCGCAAGCCCAAGGTGATTTTTAATCAAGCTAGTTCTATTACTAATCCTCCTTTGCAGGCACCTATTACATTCCATGAGGCTGTTAAACATGATGAGTGATAGCAAGTAATGAATGATGAATTTGCTGCATTATCTCGTAATAACACCTGGACTCTTGTTTCTAAACCTCCTCGAGTCAATGTAATTGGCTCCAAATGGGTGTTTTGCATCAAAGAAAAGGTAGTTGGTTCTTTGGATCGTTACAAAGCAAGACTTGTAGCTTAGGGGTACTCTCAGCGACCAGGTGTTGATGTTGGTGATACTTATAGTCCAGTTGTTCGTCTAGCCACCATTCGCACAGTTTTATCTTTGGCTCTATCTCGTAACTGGCTTGTTCATCAACTTGATGTGAAGAATGCTTTTCTTAATGGTCTCTTGCACGAAACTGTTTATATGAAACAGCCTCAAGGCTTTGTCCATCATCAGCATCCTGACTATGTTTGCAAACTCAATCCTGCTCTCTATGGCCTTAAGCAAGCCCCTCGGTCTTAGTTTCAGAGGTTTGTTTCCTTCATCACTGCTCGTGGTTTTCGATCTTGCAAGTCTGATTCCTCTATGTTTGTTTACTGTCACGACAGGGGGCATGACTGTTCTTTTGCTTTATGTTGACGACATTCTACTCACTCCTTTTTCTACATCGCTCATGTCTTCTATCATTGCTCAGTTGAGAAAGGAGTTTACTATGACGGATTTGGGTGCTTTGCATTATTTTCTTGGCATTTCTCTCTCACGTACCCCTGATGGTCTCTTTGTGTCACACTCAAAGTACATTGCCAGCCTTCTTGATCAGTGTCCTTACTTTTGCTAATCCTACTATCACTCATGTTGATACTAAAGCTAAATTATCTCAGCTTGATGGGGGAGTTGTTTGCTGATCCATATGAGTATCGCGAGTATGAGAGCCCTTCAGTATGTTACCTTCACTCGTCCTGATATAGCCTATACAATACAACAGGTTTGTTTGCTTATGTGTTAGCCTCGAGAGTCTCACTACAAAGCCGTCAAACGCATTCTGCGCTATCTGAAGGGTACTGTCTTTGATGGTCTTCATCTTCAATCTGCACCTCTTGATAAATTAGTGGCTTATTCTTATGTCGACTGGGCTGGCTGTCTTGATACTTGCCAATCTACTTCTGGTTACTGTGTCTTCTTAGGTTTTAATCTGTCCTCTAAATGGCAGGCTATTATTTCTCATTCTAGTGCTGAGGCTGAATATCGAGCAGTTGCTAATGCTGTTTCTGAAGTTTGCTGGATTCAATCTTTACTTTCGGAGCTGTGTATTTGATTTCCTACTGCCACCATTGTGTTTTGTCATAATGTTAACGCTATTTTCTTGTCCACTAATCCTGTTCAGAATCAGCATACCAAACATGTTGAGATTGATATCTATTTTGTTCGTGAGAAAGTTGCTCCATGAATTATTCGTGTTCTTCATGTTTCTTCTTCTCAAGAGTTTGCTGATATTATGATGAAAGGTTTGCCTCATGCCCTTTTTACGGATTTTGAAAACAATCTGAACGTTCGTGGACCTCCCGTTCAGATTGCGGCAGGATGTTAGTGTATATATAGATATAGGTAGCGTTATGATTGTAATTATACATCTGTAATTGTTCTATAATATACTGATTGTATCAATACAACAACCCTAAGGGTTTTATACTTTCAGTTCTACACTGCTAACTATATGGTTGAAACTTTCTTTTCCCCCTTAGATAAAAGTTAGTCCGATAACGTAAGAACTCACGAGTTAGTTTGACCATTTAACAAATTACTCTCCCCTTTTTATTTTTTATTTTCTTTTCTTTTTATATTAAATCTCACTTTTTAAATCTGAATTGCTGTTCGCAGTTCATAAATTATTCACTTTCAGTTCAATTTGGATAATTTTTCCCTTGAAACTTTACCTAATTACAAAACCTACTCAAAATATATTTATCATATAATTTTAATATAATGTATAGTGCATTCTTTATTTGAATATAATAAATAAATTATAATAATAATAAAAAACTTATTATACCTAATTTCTGCATTAAATCTATACTAATTATTAAATTAAATTAATTATACCTAATAAATTCAATTAAATTAAAAATGTTATTAAAATAGTAAATATAACACAAAAAACATAACTAAAGGAAATATAAAAAAATAATGACAATTACAAAAAAAAAACTTTAAAAAAAATGAAAAAATATTTTTGCCCAAGGTGGCCGGCTACCCTAGACATTACCTTTTTACTTTTTTAAATTTTTTTGTTATTTTTGTATTATTTTTATCATTATTTTTTGTATAATTACTTTAGTTTTATATTTTGTGTTATTGTTCAATTAATTTAGTTAAATTTATTTATAATTAGTTTAATTAGTGTATGTTGTGTTATTTTGTTGTAATTAATTTACTCAAAATATAACAAAAATAACTAATTCATTTACGTAAACAATAATTATTAAAGCCTACAAATTAATACTAACTAAATACCACATACCTAATTATAAAAACCTACTCAAAATGTATTTATCATATAATTTTAATATAATATCTAGTGCATTATTTATTTGAATATAACAAATAAATTACAATAATAATAAAAAACTTATTATACCTAATTTCTCCATTTAATCGACACTAATTACTAAAATAAATTAATTATACTTAATAAATTCAATTAAATTTAAAATGTTATTAAATCAGTAATTATAACACAAAAATTAAAACTTAAAGTAAATATAAAAAAAATTGAATTTTTTTTTTTGCCCGGAGTGGCCGGTTGTCTGGCCGGCGACCTTTTAAAGGTTGGCCGGTTTATTCACCAGCCAACCGGGAAGAAGTGGCCACCCTTACCTTTTCTTTTTCGCCCCCCAAATTTTTGTGTTATTTTAATATTATTTTTTTGTTATCATTATTATTTTGTGTAATTACTTTAGTTTTATATTTTGTGTTATTGTTCAATTAATTTAGTTAAATTTATTTGTAATTAATGTAATTAGTTTATGTTGGAGAAGAAAAAAGAGTTTAGGACAAACTTGTCCAAAACGAACTGTAAGTGAGTAATTTCTGAATTGCGAAAAATAACACCCTTTTTAAATTTTTTTTGAGTTGAATCTTCACTTCCAAAACTATAAATTAAGGCCTTGTTTGATAAACCAATTAAGCACTTAAATTTATTAATTAAGTACTTAATTGATTAGCAGTGTTTGATAACACAATATCATAACAACTTAATTGATTAAGAACTTAATTTTTTAATGACTTAAATTTTAAGTGCGTTTGATAACTCAAATAGGATGTCTTAATAAATTAAGTGGGTCTGAAATGCTAGTACAAATGTGAGCCTAAAAATAAGTGATTGGCCTATCATTTATGTCTGAACTAAATTCTTGAGACGATTTTTTCTATTTATTTAGTTTTATGTGTATACTTTTGATATTTTATCTTGAAATATTTTTATTAATCATGATGTCTAGTTCTAAATAAAAATTTATGTAAATTATTTTTTATTTAATAAATAATTATTTTTATATAAAAATTAAAATCCATTGAATTCCATGATCAATATATATTTGCCGTAAAATATTAAAATATGATATTTTTTGACAATGATGAAATAGGACATTATTATTAACTGGAGAAATAATAACATAATAAAATTTAAATCTTTTTATTACATTATTTTATAATAATATTATTATTATTATTATCATAGTTTCATATACATCAAGTGTTGTTTTAGATAAAATCATAAGTCGAGATATTTTAAATTTCAGTGTTCAGACTTCAGATTTCAGACATTTTATTCAGTGTTCAGATTTTAGTTCTTATCAAACACGAGAAACTTAATCAGTTTAGTACTTATGATTCAGTCTTCAGATTTCAGACTTCATACCCAAATTAAGTTTTATCAAACGGGGCCTAAATTCCCCAATTATTATCTCAAAAAAGAGAATTCCCCAGTCACTATTATTTTCCCAATATTTTCCTAAACACTAATACTACAAAAAAAAAAAAGAAAAAGAAAAAGAGAGCGTGTAATTGAGCTCGGTAGGCAGAGAAATTTTACATGTTTAGTTTTGATCAGTCCTTTGAACTGAAATTGGAATCAATTTTCTTGATATATTTAAGGTAGAAAAATGGGTGGAAACTAACTCTATCCATTTCATGAAGTTGGAGTCCAACTTTTCGACAAATTCAAGGTAGAAAAACGGTGGAAACATTTTTATCCATATTTCTAAATATAGTCTAGAAGGTATAATATTTGTCATAAATTAAACTTCATTTAAAACTGTGGCTCCTTAATAAGTATGAAAATAGTAAATTTCTTTCAAAATGTATTGATACACAAAATTTTAGAAGATGGTCCAACTTTAACACTATCAAATATGAGCATATACTGGTGAGTTAAAGGAATGTGTTGGTTTTTCGGGGCAACTGGACATCGCTCGGACCAAACAAGAAACCTATTGTGTGAGTAGGGTTTTATATTTTGTACAATAAATATAATTCTTTTGTTTCCTATCTTATATGATTAGGGTTTTGAGGATCCTGATCTCGAATAAGTAACTGAAGTAGAAATTCATTCCAAACGTCAATCGGTCCAGGCAAACACCAATGCACACAATCGTGAACAACCTCTTCATTAGGCCTCCGATATATATCAGGATGACCATCAGGTCTAAGCCGCATTGCTGGAGTCACATCTATCATTCCGAACCTTAACCCTTTCTTGTTTCCTTCTTCTTGAGCAATTTTCAGTTCCTCCATTTGTATCCCTCGCAACACCGCCGAGTAAGGATCCAAGTCAGTTTCCAATCGCCTGAAAGGTTTTGTCCGATTACAATATCCACCATTATACCATGATCCGCCCTCGAAATGGTCTGGAGACACACTCCGAATGAAAAACGTCGCTCCGGGTTTCGCTAATTCCCTCATGGCTCTCAATGATGTCCTTAACGCCTTTTGGTATGCGCTGTAGAATCCTATGTCCGGGACGCTTTCTTCCTTACACTTGTTGCAACCAAAGAGGCGGCGATTTTCGTAGTACATGCTTGTGACGAACCACCACTGCCCGGCTGAGATGATCATGTAGTCGTAGTTTGCGATCTTGGATGTCCAGTATTCGTTAAACTCATCTAGGTATATGTTATCGGGACCCTTTTTAGATCTTTCTGAGCGTGTAAAAAATACAGTCCAATACGATGACATATTGAAGTTGTAATCCTTGTATACCCACTCTTCCCTATCTTTTGGTGATACATCTTCCGGGACAGCAACCTTTACAATTAATACATACCTTAGAATTAGTGCGTTTTGAATTTATGCACCTAAAAGTTACCATACTAAACGCAATCTAGACTATGGTGACAATTTTCTATGCAATATGAGATGTAAAATGAATTAATAACTCGAAAAACATCAGGTTTATTAAATGAATAAGAAATGGACCTATTAATTTATTAGATATTAGTATATTACAACCTCAACATGAGAAATGAAATCCATTGAAATGTTATGTTTGGTTTGTGGTGAATTTTCTTAACTCCTGAGTTTGAGAAAAAAACACGATATAATTCTACTCTCTTACTCTGGACAAGAGACAACCCAGGGACTGCATGTGATTTCTTGCCAAAGAATCCCCAACAAAGGCCATAGACTTTCCTCTGACCAATTCCAAGAACCGCTCAGGATCGAATTTGGGAAGCTCGCAGCCGTCGGGTTTCCACCTCCATTTCAAGTAATTCGAATCGGGTCTTCCATTTTTCATGCAATTCTGATAAAATTGCGATTTAGGGCACGCTTTGTTCATGTAGTCGGGTCCGTCAGGATCCGGTATCCAGTCACCGGTGAACAAATCACAGTTTTCCGATGAATTCGCTTCTTCCCTTTCATCAGCATTGATACTTTTAAGATACCCCAAAGAAGTAGCTGATTCGAATATTTTTCTGGGATTATTACTATAATCAAATGGAGGGTAAATGATGACTAACAAAGTAAGTGTGAGAAAAGTTGAAAAGAAAGCTAGTGTTGCTATCAGATTTAATGAAGTGTGTTGGAAACGTGAATATTGCTGCTGATGATGATGATTTTGATCATATGCTTCTTCTAATTGGTCTCTCATTGTGTCTTTTTTTTTCCGGGTGAATTGCTAACAAATTGAACTGTTAGAGACGAGCGATTTTCCAGATTGTTGGAGCAAATTGTTTGATTCATAGAGTTCAAATGATCCATATTATTATGCTTTATACACTACAAAAAATCAAATTGAAAGTTACAAGGTTGGTAGTTTAGGCAACTACGATCTAAAGCAGAGAATTAATTAATTACGTAGGTGCTGGCTAGTTAAACTCTTGCAACTTTTCTAGAATCAATTAATTTTACTACATAGTTCTTATATTTATTAAAGTTAGGCCAAGGGTAAATAATTAAGTAGTACAGGCGGCTATGAGAGGAAAGCTTCATGAAGGCTATCTAGAGATTGGTTAGTCCTAGGGAAAACCTATAAAGCAGCTATAAGATTAATTACAATTCTAGATAAATAATTCCAACTCATCGTGAAAGAATCATGAATAATTTTTTAGGAAAATCCGAAAATCTAACGCCAACACACTCCCTCAATAGGCACGACATACATTAATTAATTGAACTAGCTATTCAATTCTCTCCCTAACATACTTCTCTGAGAACTACTACCTTCAACTTTTTTTTATCTGTCACTTTTGGGTAAAACAAAATTTTTTTTATCTGTCGCACTTCATTTCCAATGTAGCATTAAGTTTAGTTTTTTTCCAATTTCACCCTTATCTCTCTCTACTTTTAATAACATATATTAATGACAACCACCTATTTTTTTACTTCCATTTCAAATTTTTGTATATTTCTAATACTTTTCATTAGGGGCAAGAAAGGTATTATATTTAAAATTAAATTATCAATTATTACTTTCTTAGAACCTGTGCAAATCCTAAAGCAACAGATAAAAAAAATAGAGGTAGTAATTCTTTATGAGGTCTTGAACCTAACCTTCATTCGTTTCTCTTACAATAGTAAAAATTAAGCCAAAAAATAGAGAAAAATTCTAAGTAATTAAATAAGCATATAGCTAGCTAGTTAGGTTCTCCCACCAGTATAGTTTGTTAGCCATGTAGTCTTAGTTTGATGGTCATGTAACTTAAATTTTGGTGGTCATTTGCTCTCTTTTTTTTTTTTTCTTTTCTTTTCTTAATCTTCATTCGATTTAGTTTACCAACCATTTATATTAGTTTTGATTATCCTCTCCTTAAACCAAATCCAAATTCTAAACATAAAACCAGACCATCATCTATAAATTGAATTGTAAATATATGGGAAGTCTTATTTCAAAAAGTGTTGACTCCATAAAAAATATTAAATAGACCATAGAGACACTAAATCGCGGGAACCATGAAAAAAAGGAGATACAAACAGTATCAAAACTGAAACAGTAGGAACCACTAAAATATTGGGAAAAAAATAAAAAAAATAAAAACACAATACAAGACCTCCATCAAAATTATAGAAAAAGACCATCCAACATCCTCTGTATACTAAATACAGTAATATAGTTTGAGATGGACTGTCGATTATGTTTTGAGTAACTTTTGAATGAGGAGAGGTGTCACTTTGGCGAGATGGAGTGGAATCCAACATGACCTTTCAGGTGAGAATAAGACGAGGGAATTAGAAGCAATTCTGTTGGTGTTTAAAAATAAAATAAGAAGAATCTATCAAATAATCTAGCGAGAAAGAAATATCTGGATTTTTTAAAATAAAAATTAAAATATGATAAACCTAAAATCTTCCAACAATGATTAAAAATAACGAGATATACCAAATTAAAAACACAACTTAGAATCACTAGTAATGCCATGCGAGTAGAATTTTTATGCCTTTCTGTTAGTGGATAAACCATCCAATACATATGAAAGTGTTTTAGCTGTAAAAATATTTGGATTAATTAGTTGTATACTTCTTCTGTTACGAAATGATGGTCCTATTTCAGAATTTACTTTTAGTATAATTTAAAATAAAAATAAACTATACTGTACAATTTTGAGACAGAGGAACTTATTAACGAGGTTACTAATAATTATATAAAAAAAATGAAGTATAGTAATAAGTTTAATTAGAAGTAGTAGCTCATGTGAGATAGTTCGATTTAGTTGTTGGCTCAAAGGATATTTTATTAATTAACCTTCATTAATTCTTAAAAACTTGATTGAGTGATTTTGACATTTACATAAACGTTTAAAACTTACGAGTTATTATTACAATTTTATAGTCTAAAACTAAAACTAAACATAGGGAGCCGAATATTTATAGTAGGAGTATTACTTTATTGTCTAATACTAGTACATACAGTAATACAATACTCCCTCTATCCTAGTATGGACTATTTTTGTGTGAGAATTTATTTGAACGGTGAGAATGTGGACTATTTTTTTTTTTGAAACAAAGGTTAGTACTAATTATTTTTGGGTGATAAAAATAAAATGCAATTTGCCCCTACTTCGACAAAATATTAAATAGCTCAGCACGTGTTATTGTTACGCGAAATTTAGAAACACTATACAACCTTAACATTGTCAAACAACAAAGTCTGGAGTATATATCACTAAGTCAGGAACTTTCTCTCTCTTCTACTGTGGGCGAAAACATGCTCAACTGCGTGATTCCGTCCTGGTCTCCGACGAAAGTCTGCAATGACGAGGAAATCAAGGAAAAGAGGGGAGGTTGTGGTGAGTGACAATCAACAACATCAATCGGAGGATGAAGGGGATCGATCAGAGGGCAAAGGAGCTAAAGAAGCTGGAAGTGTGAACAAGAACCAGCTAAGCTCAAACTCAGGTAATTCCTCTAATTCGAACTCGATCTTAGAGAATCTATGTAAACGGAAGGTGATTGAGGTAGGAGAAAGTTCAAATTCTAAAAATCAAGTTCGATCTAAGGAATATGAGGTTCGAGTAATAGCTGGGGAGAAGGGTGTATGGCAAGGGTTTGATCCGAAAGGATTAGTGCCGAATAAGAAGAAACAATGTTTTACTGAACCGTTCGTAGTCAATAATCGTATGGTTACCAAGATAACAAAAGATGAGATTCAAAGTGAAATTGAATACTGGAAATCATCGATCATTTGTTACGTCTTACTAGCTAAGCTACCATTTCCAGTAATGAATGGGTTTCTCAGAAGATACTGGACTAAAAGGGGAGTAGATGAGGTTCTTTTACATGATAATGGTGTATTTGTGGTTCGATTTAAGTTAATGAATCATAAGGAGGAGGTGCTGAAACAGAACATTCATCAAATTGATAAACGACCTTTTATAGTAAAAGGCTAGGACGTTCAAGAAGGAATTAAAATGGAAGAGCTAAGCTCCATTCCTGTGTGGATCCAATTACAAGGACTAAAGCTCAAATACTGGAATGCAACTTCTCTCAGTAAGCTCATGATATGCTTATATTTTACCTATTTATTATATCTCTAATTTGTGATTTTTGCAATATATTTTGAGTACAAATATGCTATTTATATAATTTTATCTTTATTTGTAGGTTTTGTACTCAAATGGAAGAATTGTTGAGGTTTTAGACTAAATTGAAAAGAAAGAGCAACTAAAAAGGGCCTAAATGAAGATCGTAAGAACTAATGAGTAAGAAATCGCAAAAATTTTATTCTCAATTTTAATTGGGAAATAAGGTTTCTTATTCCTGAAGAAATAGGGTTTGAGGAAATCCTATAAAAAGAGGATTAGGATTTTATTTTTGATGAGACTAAACCCCCACGCCTCACCACCATCATCAACCTACGCCAAAAACCTTCCCCCCCCATACATTCCACCAACTCCACACCAACTCCGCCGACCTCATCACCTCCACGCCTCCATCATCCCTTCAGCCTTCCTCCAACCCCACACCACAAAACCCTTCACCAAAAAAAACCCAAACCCCAGCCCAACTCCAAAACCCACCTTCCAACTCCAAAACCCACGCAGCAACCCATCACCATCACTCCTTTTTCACTCTCCATGCAGATCACCACCACCCTCACATCAAAACAGCATGCCACCATTCACCACACCAAACACATGCACATCATTGGAGGAGGAAGCAAGCAACTTCGGACTCAACTTTTGGCCGACTTCTCTCGGGTTTCATTGTTTTATTTATTTTTGAGACGATGTGTATTTATTCTAGGGTTTTGAATGTAGCCACCGTACTATTTAATTTAATTTAATTCATGATTGTGACTTTTTCATTAGTTGATATTTAATATTCTTGTTTTTATTCAATGTGAGTATTTGATCACCACTTACATGCTTTAAAGGTGTTTAACTGAAGGAACAACGGTTGAAGGTTAGAACTAGTTCATGGGAATATTAAACTCAGATAGTGGGCCACGAAAGTAGGAACACCGTCTTTGCAGCTATAGATTCTAGGGTTCTTAATGTACTCTAATTAAATCCTATAGTCACGACAGTAGTCATAGGGTTAGTTTAAATAAGAGAATTATATCACGACAATGAATAGTTCTTAAATAGGTGAATCGTTGTGAGATTAATGAAAGTCTAAAGTCACATATCTATAGGTTGAATTAAACTGAATAGTCGGTTGGTGAACCCGTTGTCCTAGGTTTTTCTTTTACTTATTTATATCTTTAATTAATTGTAATTGATAGTTTTAGGTTTAGATTGTTTAAATTGATAAATTATTAATATAAATAATAATAAGAAATAATTTTAACTGGTACTTGGTAAC